AACGATAAAGAACAACGATGAAGCCATGAAACACAACATGGAGGAATCTGGAGGTCATTATGCTGAGTGAACTTAGTCAGAGAAGGACAACTATTGTATAAGACCACTATTATAAGAACTCAAGAAAAGGTTTCAACACAGAAGACAACATTCTTTGATGGTTACGAGGGTGGGGAGGGAAGGTGAGGGTTATTCACTAACTAGATAGTAGACAAGTATTATCTTAGGTGAAGGGAAGGACAGCACACACTACAGGGGAGGTCAGCACAACTGGACTAAACCAAAGCTAAGAAGTTTCCTGAATACAATTAAACACTTTGAGGAACAGAGTAGCAGGGGTAGGGATCTGGGGACCATGCTTTCAGGGGACATCTAGGTCAACTGGCATAAGAAAGCTTATTAAGAAACTGTTCTGCATCCTACTTTGGTGAGTGGCATCTGGGGTCCTAAAAGCTTGCAATTGGCCATCTAAGATGCATCAACTGGTCCCAACCACCTGGAGTAAAGCAGAATGAAGAACACCAAAGACACAAGGAAAGTATTAGCCCAAGAGACAGAAATAGCCACATAGATACTCGTGAGCAATGTGTATCTTAGCTCAAGTAGCTGCAAGAGACTAAATGGGCAGCTTCTGTCCAGAGGTGAGATGGGAAGGCAGAGAGGGTTAGGAGCTGGTTGAATGGACATAGGGAATCAGGGTGGAAAGGAGGAGTGTGCTGTCACAGTATGGGGAGAGCAATTAGGGTCATGTAACAATGTATGTATCAATTTTTGTATAGGAGACTAACTTGAAATGTAAACTTCATTTAAACTACAACAATTAAGAAAAAGGGGTGGGGGGGAGAAATGGCCACATAAACTACAGACTTCATCAGCCTGAGACCAGAAGAACCGGATGGTGCCTGGGTACCACCAATGACCACCCTGACAGGGAACACAACAGAGAGTCCCTGATGGAGCAGGAGAAAGGTGGGGTGCAGAACTCAAATCCTAGTAAGAAGACCAGACTTAGTGGTCTGACTGAGACTGGAGGAACCCCAGAAAGCATGGCCCCCAGATTCTCTATCAGCCCAGAACTAAAACAATTTTTGAGGCCAACTCCTCAGACAGGGCTTGGACTGGACTGTGGGACATAAAGGGATACTCATGAGGAATGTGCCTGTTAGCTCAAGTAGATACAAGAGACGAAACAGGCAGCTTCTGTCTGGAGGTGAGATGGGAAGGCAGAGAGTGTTAGGAGCTGGTTGAATGGACATGGGGAATCAGGGGTGGAAAGAAGGAGTATGTTGTCACAGTATAGGGAGAGAAATTAGGGTCACATAACAATGTATGTATAAATTTTTGTATGGGAGACTAACTTGAAATGTAAACTTCATCTAAACTACAACAATACCAAAAAAAAAAAAAGAAAGCCCTCATTGCCCCTTCCTTTCTGCTTGGGTCACCAGTGTGAGGATGTGATGCCTGGAGCTGCAGCAGCCTTCTTTACGGCATGAATGACCAACAAAAGGGGGAGAAGCTAACATGATTATAGGAATACATATTTTATAAATTAGGGTCATATTTCTCACATTTTTAGAACCTGCTTTTTCCACTTAACAATACATTTTTACACTTCATTAAATATTATTTGAAAATATAATTTATAATGGTTGTGTATAACTTTATAGAATAAATGATTGCATCATAGTTTATTTAACTGATTCTCTATTGTCAGAAATGAAAGTAGTCCCCAATGTTTTGCTATTCACTGTGTGAACATACTTATAAAAAATATTTATGCACATTTCAAATGATTTCCTAAGGATAAGTAGAACTGCTGAGTCAACTTTTATATTTTTATGATTTTTAATATATTCTTCCAAACTGCATTCTAAGGAGATTTGTAAAACTGGCATGGTGGCATCAGAGCTCCTCTAACTTCAGGGGGAGGAGAGAGAATCAAGAGTAACATCAGCCCAAAGTTGATTCCCTTGAGATGGAGGTCATACAAGCTTTTTACCAATTCTGATGCCAGTTATCATGGATTGAATTGTGTCCCCCAAAAAGGTATGTCAACTTGACTAGGCCATGAATCTCAGTATTGTGTGGTTGTCCGCCATTTGATCTAATGTGATTTTCCCATGTGTTGTAAATCCTACCTGTATGATGTTAATGAGGCAGGATTAGAGGCAGTTATGTTAATGAGGCAGGACTCAACCTACAAGATTAGACTGTGTTTTAAGTCAATGTCTTTAGCGATATAAAAGAGAGAAGCAAGCAGAGAGACAGGGACCTCATACCACCAAGAAAGCAGTGCCAGGAGCAGAGCACGTCCTTTGGACCCAGATTACTACACTGAGAAGCTCCTTGACCAGGGGCAGATTGATGACAAGGACCTTCCCCCAGAACCGACAGAGAAGAGAAAGCCTTCCCCTGGAACTAGTGCCCTGAATTTGGACTTGTAGCCTCCTAGACTGTGAGAGAATAAATTTGTTTGTTA